TCATACATGTGAGGCGGTTGCCGAGCGTCTGAATTTTGATCAGGTGACCCTGTGGGAGGCGGCAACGGTCGTAAGTGTGAGAACTGGGTCACCAGTCGCTCTTTTCGGGGCCGTCGCAACTTTGAACGGTCACTAAGTGAACAGTTGTAGAGCGGAGAATGACCAGTGTTGGACAGCCATTTGTCTGAAATTGCAATAGGGTCTCCTGCTTGAGCAGGGGGTTGGACTAGATGACCTCCAAGGTCCCCTCCAACTCTGTTATTCTGTTACTCTGACAATCTATTTATCATATCTCATAACTCATTTATCAGACAGCCATTTGTCTGGAATGGCATTAGGGTCTCCTGCTTGAGCAGGCGTTGGACTAGAAGACCTTCACGGTCCCTTCCAAACTCTGTTATTCTGATAATATATATATGTCATATATATCAGACAGCCACTAGTCTGGAATGGTAGAGGAGAAACTTCCTGACAGTGAGAACAATTAACCAGTGGAACAACCTGCCTCCAGAAGTTGTGGATGCTCCAACACAGGAGGTTTTTAAGAAGAGACTGGACAGCCATTTGTCCGAAATGGTATAGGGTCTCCTGCCTGAGCAGGGGGTTGGACTAGATGACCTCCAAGGTCCCTTCCAACTTTATTATTATATATATATCATATATATCATATATCATATATATCAGACAGCCACTTGTCTGGAATGGTGTAGGGTTTCCTGCCTGAGCAGAGGGGTTGGACTAGATGACCTCCAAGGTCCCCTCCAACGTTGTTTTTTTTAATAATAATAATAATTATTATTATTATTATTATTATTATTATTATATCATATATATCATATATCATATATATCAGACAGCCACTTGTCTGAAATGGTATAGGGCAGGGGTAGGCAACCTTGGCTCTTTTATGACTCATAAAAGAGCCAAGGTTGCCTACCCCTGGCATAGGGTTTCCTGCCTGAGCAGAGGGGTTGGACTAGATGACCTCCGAAGGCCCCTTCCTCCTCGGTGACCGTGCCGTTCTGTGACTCCTTGCAGGCACCAACATGCTGATGGTGGGGGTCCACGGGCCCAAGACCCCCTGCGACGAGGTCTACGTCAAGCACATGGGCAACCGGGTCTACAGCGTGACCTACACCGTCAAAGAGAAGGGCGACTACATCCTCATCGTCAAGTGGGGGGACGAGGGCGTGCCCGGCAGCCCCTACCAAGTCAGCGTGCCCTAGGAGGGGGCCGGAGCCCACCCGCCCCCGCCCTCCCC